TGAGGCATAATCCATCATATTATCCGTACTATTAGTTCCTACGTTAAAGCTCAGCATTATTGGTATAAAAAACTTTAAATGGCATTAGGATTTGGGGGGGTGGGAGGGAGTAATGAAGGGAAGGATTAAAAATGATCTGCAATTAACTAATAACACCTGAAAGCTGAAACAGGTTTCAACACATTGTCCAAAACCCCTGCAATGTTGATAGCATCACATTATTATTATTTAATTAAGCTACAAAAACCGTAAAGCAGAATTATGGCTGAGAGCAAGCGTGGGGCTGCCCCTCGGCAGGATATGGGATAACAAATGCACACTGAAGCACTGCTTAACAGAACGTGGAAGGGAAAGATTTTTTTCCAGAGAAACAATTCCACTGACAATTTGATTTTCCTACTAGACAGAAAAAAACCAACCTGGCGCATTAGCAATTTTAAAAGTGTAAATTGTACAGAGAAATAAAGAGGCAGAGCAGCTGCACAAAGTGAGCAGAAATTTAGGGTTTGTTTTTTTCGTTTCAAAATTCTGAAGTGCAGTATCTTAAAAGTTTTTTAAATGACAAACAAATTATAATTAAAAAAAAAAATCAATGCATGGTTTCTTACTTCCGCCATGAAATAAAGAAAAAAAAAAAAGAAGGGTTTGGAAGGAGGATAAAGGAAGATTTGTCATGTATTCTCCATAATCTCTATATCTGGCTAGGAACATAATTTGTGCCAAAATAAAGTCTTTGGGAAGCATCAACATTTTAGTATGCTCATGTACAGGTCCACATTAGGTTAATATAACTGTTTACCAACTTAAAAAAATAAAAACAGACACACCTTTATTAATGATTTCTACAGAATTTTTACATAGAAAAAAAAAAGATACAAATTAATGCAGATCCACTTGGGCAAAAAAACCCTACAATGTACTTAAAGATGCGACAACTTAATTTCCCCTGCACGAGAAGATATATTGGAGCTGAAAGCTTTCCTTTGTCCTGATGCCAGGATACAGCACCAGCATACTTAAATTTTGTTTCTCATAGTCGAATTTAATAGCAGTTCTAGTATATATATCAAACTGTATATGTTTATTCTTATTGTTTGTTTCGATTCTGACGTTCCTGCAAAGACAAAAAAAAAGTTAAAAGTTAAGAAAGACTTTAATCAAATGGAAAAGCAAAAAAAGTTTTTAGTAGCATAACAGCACGGATGCAACCCCAGAAAATTACACAGTTTGTTAAAACATTGCTGCTATATTTTATAAATATACTGGATATTTACCGGATTGTTTATAAATACACTGGATATTTTTAAATACACTGGATATACCTCACAACCCCAGGACTTGGTAATATTAAATACAGCTTCAAGCTGAAGAGCTGAATGGATCCCTGCTTTGAAGTGACAGCAGCTGAGGGTCACAGCAAGAAATGTATGGAATATCAACATTCCTAAGAGAAACAGGACCTGCAATAGTCTACTTTCTGTATTCTCACAGTTACTGCAGTAGCACAATCCATACAAGAGCAGAAGGGAGACGGTAGATGAGTGAACTCCACAGAGCAGGTATAATTTTGAAGCACTCAAATGACTTTGGAGTTTAGCCACATTCAATAAAAGCAGGATTTGAGCTCTCTAGAAATTCTCTTCCTAACTCCTCCTATCTGTTGAACTATTCTGGGAGGCACTGTGAAATAATTGACTTTCCCAAAGTGTACCAGTACAGAAACCAGCAGGTTCTGTGGAGCCTCTCTCAACAAATACTGAAAGTAGATAAAGGCAAAAGGCAACCTAAGGGGTACCTGCAGCCACCCCTCAACTGCTCTCAGTCTCCATCCGACCAACCAGTGCTCTCCCAGCAAAGTCATCCCTCCCATTTACAGCAGGGGCTCTGCAGGGGCTTACACAGTTGAGCAAAGGAAGAATAAAAAAGGGGGGGGTTTCCTCAATAATTGTTTCAGGTGCCCCATAAATTGCAAACGTGCAGAAAACAGCAAGACCAGCTGGATAAAATATGCTGTTCCATCTTTAGGGCAGGGCATTTTTCCAGCAGAGACATAGCACAGATTGAACAGAAAGGGTTCGGCCTCACCGTTTTCCATTTCATCCCAACAGTGTTTGAAACAGACCATAGACAGTCACTGTCTGACATCCCAAATAAAATTACAGACAGGCTGCCTGACATTTCAAATAAAAGGTGGTTAGAAAGAATCTAAAACTGAGTACCAGCCAAATTTTCAGGCTTGCAGAAAAGTAACTGTTCCATCCTACTTCCATTTCCAAGGTGGCAAATCCCCTTTACTCTGCTCATCAGCTCATTCTTTCCCATCACCATCTCACATAACTTATTTTCCTTTTCTCTGTAATCATCCACTGACCCTCATAATCCCACTTCTCCTATTCTCATGGACTAGCAGAAGACACAAGACAGGCCAGCACATGAGACTTCTACCTGGTACCTCTAAAGTATGCTCGTGGCATTCAGACTCAGCTCAGGCTTTATAATTGAGTAAAAAGTGCTATTTATTGAGCAAGTTTACACAGTTCCTCCTACCTTGCTGCTTGCTTTCTCTCTCAGGGGCTAATCTGAGTCTTCCTTTTAGAAAGTGTCTGAAACCATATAAACTGATGGGGAGGAAACTGATCCAGCAATTCTCTGTGTCCTTGAGCACGGCTGCTTTTTTGAAGCTCTAACACTCAAGTTCTGTTCCTTACTGCTATTTAGCACTAATGCAAGTGACAACAAGCAGTTCTGTAAGGAACTAACAAAGCTTTGTTCATTTTTGTTCTGAAGATCCATTTGGAGCCTTCATAGTTTCTCTCCTCCAGGAGAACTCTCTGCTATCTCACAGGGGAGCTCCTGTTGCATACTTCTCTTTCGTGACATTAATATGGATACTCTTCAGACACAGGAAAAACTGGTTTTCACCAAATCTGCAGAAGCTTCCATTTTAGAGAGACTCATCACTGTCAAACTTCTGCTCCTTTCACCCCAGTCTGAAGTAGCTGCCAACCTTCCCACTAAACTTTGTTATAGTCAGTGGGATGAAAGCACCATCTTCTGACACAAAAATATAAATGTTATCTTTGTATAATTAAACACTACTAGTATTAACCTTAAATAAGTGTTTTTTTCAATTACAGTACTGAAGGAAGGAAAATATTCTGTCCTTAAGAGTTGTGTGTGAATGAATGTGTTCACACATGGCACACTGAAAGGAAATGCACAACTCTAGAAGAAAATGAGTATTTCAGAATGCCAACATTTTTCGATAATCACCCCAAAAGAGAAATGGGAAGTTTGGTGATTCAAGAGCTTTCTGAGATAAGACTACTCAGCTCTTCCAGCACAACACCAAGGTGAAAACTGTGGAATAGCCAAGTGCCTCGACACCGAGCAGAGGAGACAGCAGAGAAGTCCACTCCAGCCACTGTGACCATCTAGTTAAATACAGAGCTCTGAGGATGAGCTGCTGACAGCATCAACCCATCTGTCCTACCACAAGATGGAAATAAAAATAACAATCTGCAACAAGCTTATTTTCTTCACAAGCTTTTAACTTTTGAAGACAATTCTGTGAAGACTTATGCAACCATGCTTCTAGAGAATGTTAATAATTAATGCCACATTATTCTGTATTTGTTTTTTAAAGCAGCTCTCACATATGTTGCAACTTTTTCACGTTTTAAGAGCATGAGCATTGAGCACAGAAGTTGGTCTCTTTGTGGACACTGTAGTGACCCTGGAAACTGCCCGAGAAACGCTCAGAGACTCAGGAGAGATTTCTTGCCACTCATTTTTTTTGCAATTTCATTCAGATACTGGTATCCTTCTATTACTCCTTTCCCAGGCTCTGGGTCACCAGACTGGGCTTAACGAGTTTATTACTACGGGAAATGAAAAGCTGGACTTACATCCCAGCATGAACAGATCTGCCCTCAGTTCTAGGTGACGATACAGCAACGCTGGTGACACTGACAGAGCTTTGGCACTTTCCTGAATGTCACCCAGCGTTACCCCTGCTTAATCCTCACTGGATGATTTGGTGTCAGCACCAAGATTCCTGGAGGAGTTGAATTCAGGGAGCACACACTGGAGCTCACACCACACCCATTAATTAAGGAAACACTGGTTAACAAACTGTAACCATCTGAAGAAAAGAACTGAAATGCCAGTGGCTTGCATTGTATGGATTACATAAATTTATTCTTCCCTAATAAATACTTGTGTATAAATTAAAGAATTCAAGCCTTCCACATGTAGATTTTGAAGAATTCTAGCCCTTTATAATCACAACCGTGGTGAAATGGAAGCACAAAATTTCAACAAGTAATTTTACTGCTAAACAGTATAATGAATAAAAAAACCACAGCAAATTGAAAACCACTTAAGATGGCACATATACAAATAGCCAGCTGAAAGTGTAAATTAGGTCATAAGATACATTAGCTGGCAATAAGATTCTTCAAAAATTGTCACAGGAAGGTTAACTTTGCAGAACAGGAAGGCTTCAACTTCAACAGCACAAACTTCTCAACAGTAAGAAGTTTAAGCATGTGTGTATCCTGCAAAGAAACTCTGCAGTAATCAGATGGACCTGAACTTTCCATACAACAGTTTGATAGGATGCAAGATACAAGGACTATCTTATTTTTCATTCCCTCTCTGTTGATCTGCTTTACCTCTCGAGCACTATTACCTTCCCTCAGTGTACTTCAACTGTCATTTTCTAAGCTACTCAGAGGAACCTAAGAAATGTTAAATTAGACTTCAGAGTTTATTTTCTGAATGTGTCACACAAGCTAGAGCCTCAGTTTTAAATGAGCCAGAAAAACAGTATTATTTTGAAAAATGGATCCTGTTATAAAGCAGTGACCTGGGTAAGAATATTGTTATCAGCACTTGAACTGAAAGTGGGAAGTAGTAGTGTATGTTAAAACAACCCAACACAGGATCAGCCCAATAGTAACTTCTCAACAGTAAGAAGTTTAAGCATGTGTGTATCCTGCAAAGAAACTCTGCAGTAATCAGATGGACCTGAACTTTCCATACAACAGTTTGATAGGATGCAAGATACAAGGACTATCTTATTTTTCATTCCCTCTCTGTTGATCTGCTTTACCTCTCGAGCACTATTACCTTCCCTCAGTGTACTTCAACTGTCATTTTCTAAGCTACTCAGAGGAACCTAAGAAATGTTAAATTAGACTTCAGAGTTTATTTTCTGAATGTGTCACACAAGCTAGAGCCTCAGTTTTAAATGAGCCAGAAAAACAGTATTATTTTGAAAAATGGATCCTGTTATAAAGCAGTGACCTGGGTAAGAATATTGTATCAGCACTTGAACTGAAAGCGGGAAGTAGTCATATATGTTAAAATAACCCAACACAGGATCAGCCCAACAGGTGAACACCATTCCCTGAGCTGCTCCAAAGCAAAGGCAGGTTGGCAATCAGAACGCAGCCATCTGGGTCTTCTGCAGACCAGTAAGTCCACTGTGCAAGAGCAGCTCTCCTACCACTTTCCCAGTACTCCCACTCTTCAAGTACACACGTTATTCTCCCCTCCAGACTCAGCAGCAAATCACAGGGAGACTCAGCATTAAAAACCCCCAAACAATTACCCCCGACACTGTACGAGGCTTATTCAAGACTCTCTCCTACGTAAGGGTCACCTCTCTTCACCATACAGGTTGCACTGAATGTTGCATTAGTTGTCTGCTGAAGGAATGCAGTGTTACAGTAAAGGCTTTTATGTTTTAGCTCAGGGTAGTACACAAGAAACACTTCAAATCTTAAGCTTCCCTCCCCTGCTGTGCTGAGGTACGCTCTGCACATCCTCTCTGATGGCCAGGAAAAGTCAAGCCAACAAGTTCTTAAGACGCTGATGCCCTTCTCTCTCATAATTTAAGGGTATACTCCACGAAGACACTTTAAAGCAATTTTATCTGTACTTTTAAATGGCAATAAAACCTTTAAAATGCCAACTTCAATTTAAGCTCCAAGAACACGCATTAAGTCTTTGTTTCAAAATGTTTTTTGAAGCAAGTGTGAGCTGCCTATCGAATAAATGCTTTATTTGAACTGTTTTACAAAAAAGTCCATGAAACACTATCAATATCAAGCAACTTTAAGTAGTAGTTAGTAAAGACACATCCTTACATCTATTATTTTGTCAGTTCATTACTTCTAGACTGCCTAATTAGAGAAAGATATTCTTGAAACTGAGGTCATGGGATGGACATGGACAGATGTCTCTTGTAGCAGACTTAGAGCCACAAAAGTGTATGTAAGTTTTTACTGCACTTTCCCAGTTATTGCCCAAATTTCTCTTACCACACCTTCACTCAGAACTTCAAGAATTAGTAGTAGACAGACTGGACCTGGGAACTGCAAACCTTTATTTACCCAAATAAAAATACACGTGACTTGAGAAACGCAATCTTTCTAGCACTATTTCAGCAACTTTATGCAACTTTTTCTTTTCCAGAGAGATCAACTGAATAAATGAGACCAGCTTCTCAATCTTAAAGGGGATGCACAACTTTCAAGTGCCAACACAGGTATCAATTTTGATAGCTCAGTTCCAGTCAAACAGTTGGTAAAGCACCTCATATTTATAAGGCAAAAAACTTAGGTGGCAATCATTGGCAGAATCCAACTCTGAAGCAAACTATTTTCTAGTTATTAATGATTTTAACATAAAAAAATAAATCAAACTCAAAAAAAACTGGACAAAATGTCCTTTACCTGTATTATTGCTTAACTTTCTCCTTTGAAACCCATTAGCTAAGAAATTGTCACAGACAAATAAGCATCAGTTCGTTTTTGGTGTTGCTAAACACACGTGAAACCATCAAATTGGTATGTATTAAAAACATTTCGAATTCCTACTTACATTTTTTTTTCCACCATAGCAGCCTTCACATTTCATTTTCCCCATATCTCTGTATAAAATAAATTTTTTAATAAGTTTACCTTCCGCACCACCTCCTCCTCTTCCTGGCGCTTTTCATAATGAGAAAAGTCATCAAAGATGGAGGTCGTGTGCTTGTAAGTAGCAATAATTTTAAGCACTTGTTTTGCTTTTTCTAAGGGCACCTCCTGTGTATCACGGGAGTTTGTAACGGGTTTGTTGTCATTGTTCTCCAGCCTGATGTGTCGCAGCTGGTTGTTGGGCACATCCTTCACAAAGATCCACTTGACATCAAATTTCCCCTTCCACTTGTCCTGAGACCAGACACCTGCACTGGTGCCATAGTCCACGGGTGATTTCATCTCTGCTACTCCACAGAAGTGTCCACTGCCATTGACACTGAACAGCAAGTAGACTGGACCCTTGCTATTCATGGACCGAAAAGCACTGTCCAGGCGTTTGTTGCCATGTTCCGTACTACACCAAATAGAATACTTAATGGAACGATGAATATCATCCTCAGAATAGCTCTTTATTATGAACACGCGTCCATTTTTAAGGTTCCATTCAAAATCTTTAGGGTTATAGCTGTGAGCAGCTTTCAATTTTTCAAGAACGGGATGGGACTCACCACTCGGCACGGGGTTAGGCTGGGCACTGCCAGCTGAGTTGCTCTCATTACCAGTTCCTCCACTTTGCCCAAAAGCCGCGTTTCTGTTGCGAGGAGCTACCCAGCGATTTTGGGGTGGCTGCTGAGGGGCCTGATACTGAGGCTGAGTCAATGGAGGAGGCTGAGTTGGAACAGGCTGAACAATTTGTTGCTGTGGCTGCGGGACAGACTGAGGAGAAGGTATCTGTTGGGGGGCAGGAACTTTTGCCACAGGACCCTTATTGTCCCAAGTACCTATGTCCATATTATGCTTTATAGGTGGAGGAGGCAACGCTCCTCCAATTACAGGTCCGGTTTTTGTTTTCATTTTAGGCTGTGGTTTGGCAGGCTTGCTAGCTATAGCAGCCCAAGAAGTTGGTTTAGATACTGGCAAGTTTACATTAGATCCACCGTTACCAGAGAGGGCACCTGTCATCCCAGCACTGTTGACCACAGAACCTACTGTTTTCACCGCAGAAGTTGTAACGTCTCCACCGATCTTCAGTCCCACCATTCCCTGTTCGATACTGTTCATCCCAGGAGCTTTATTTAACGTATCGTTATGAAATCCCGTTTGTCCATCCACGATGGTACCCCCCAGTGAACTAGGTGGGTAGCTGTAACTGCTCCCATAAGCTGAACTTTGAGTCTGCTGTCCTTGGGATCCACTTGTTCCCCAAGCTGAGAAGGCAGGATTTTCAGGGAAAAAGTTAAACCGGTGTTGGTAGATATTATTTCCCAGACCCCCAGGCTGTCCAAAAACAGCATCGTGCATAAAATGATGATCTCCATTACTGAGCTGTCCATAGGTGGTGAGATAAGGGATAGGAGGGTCTCCTCCTGTAGACCATGGTGCTTCACTGAGAGAATAGGGGAACCCAATAGATGGTGGATAGTAACTGGAGAGATAGGGATCAGTCATTGATGGATAGCTACTGTTCTGTTAAAGAGAAAAGAAAGGTAACTTCAGATATAAAAAAACCACATTTATAAACAGCCACAACACTGTTCATCACCAAACAGAAAAGAATAATAGAGACACGGTAATTTAATTTCTAATTACAGATCTTACTTCACACTCCAAGAAAGATGCAGGGCTAAAATGCAGTGTCTGGGTGTTTGTAATACACCCCAGAACTAGTGGCTCACAATGAGGTTAGTACTTGAGATTTTGAAACCATGAAAGCTTATTTACATTACTAAGGGGATTTAGTGGCATCTTCGAGAATTATTTAATCTACTGATATCCCAAAATATTTCAAGGAACTTGTATCACAATATATCTTGTGCCTCACAAAACTAAGGATATTTAGCATTTCTGGATCACTATATGGGAGAAGTTTTAGGTGAAATGAATATGACAGCACATAAAGCAGAAAATACAATTAAAGTCCTCATTATGGGATTGTTCTGAGGGGCCAAGCAGCAAAAGATGCCCAAAGTGGTAAAACATGCAAAGGCTGCTTCTGACACAGACAGGACCACTGTGAGATCCCAAACTAAGAAGCACATCAAGTTTGCTGTAAGCAAACCTAACGACTACAAACTGGAATGAAGGTGACTGGTGCACTAGAGACAAGTACATGTAAAGGAGGCATGTGATATGTGCCACCCAAACTGTTTGAGAAAGGCTCAACAGAGTCTTTTACAAAAGTTTCTTCATCCACCAGCACCAAACAGGCTGTCTTTTCCTCTCTACGACACAGGAGACTGACCAGTTATAAACCAAAAGCCCCCTTTGAAATTCCAGCTTTCTCTCCCTTTCAGCTGCTTCCTAGGCCAAGCCAATAAGCCTTCCCTCCCACTCCAAACCTTCTGCTGACACCTGATTTTGAAACATTCCTTATATTTCTCATACTCAATAATGCAAAAGAAAAATGCAGAATATTCTGAACTAGGTTTTATTCTTCTTTAAGTAAACTCGAAGCATATGTATTAGAGACCTTCCAAACTGACACTCAAACTGTAGTTGTGAGTGGGAGGGAAGGTCAACATCTCCTGTTGATGAGTCAAACAGCAGCCAACCTTTCCTTACTCATGGAGAAAGATTATTTTAAGAAGAGGAACTAAGATTCCTTTCAAATGGCAACATTAAAAAAAATTATCTGCAAAAATCAGCAAAACTGCACTGGAACTTCAGTCATTTTCCCCCAAATCAGATTATTTCTCAGCTCATTCAAAAACTACAGTATAAAACCTCCTTGCTGAAGATAAACATAATACCCTGATACAGAGTCATCTGTATTGCTCATTTTTCAATGACTCCTTTCCATGACATCCCAAAGCCAGAGTCATTCAATATCCTTATTTTCCATATGCACAATGATACTATAAAATGCCTCCAAGACTTACATACAGTTCTGCAACCACTTCTGAGATTTAAACAGTCTATTTCTTTTGAATCTATAACCCTGGGTTTAATCTCTGCCACTGTTGATGCTGCCCTTATTTATGTGCAAGATCTATCATTAACAAGAGGAACACAATCCACCTTCCTGTGAGAAGATCCTCTGAAATGCATTAAATTATCTGAGACGCCCAAACTAAAATAATCAATACTTAGCATTTGCAAACAATTTTTTTTTCTGAAAGACTTTACTTTGAGGTTGCTATGTGTTATAACTTAAAGTGATAGTATCGAGGAAAACATAAAAGCAAATGCAATTCTTTGGAGCTACTTATGTTCATATGTTCTACAGGTTTAGACCAAAAAGAATAAGCCTAGAGAAAACAGGTGTTTTGTCCTAAAATATTTGTTAAAGAATTCTAGACAATTCCTGAGACTGTCACCTCCTGTCACACACTCTGTAAAGTTTCCACAAGGATTCTAACAAGATTAAAGGGAAGTTTCAGCAGACATCCTTACAAAACATTCAATCTATTTTGACTGGCTTTATGCCAGAGTGTGTAAAAGAAACCCTGACAGCAGTCCTGCCCTGCAACAGCAGCACATTTATTTCAACAAACTTAGCCTTGACCTTTCAGCATCCTTCCCTTTTTATTCTTTTTTCAATTAAAAACAAACAAACAAACATCCCAACCATTCTGTTAATAAGGAAGGGAATCCTTTCTCTCAAAGTATGCTGCTTGCTAGTAATTCCCTGTTATTCATGAATAATCTTTTGGTTCTTTATGACATTACATGGGGGATGACTTTCCTGTTTGAAGACAATTTTGTATGTGAACACTCTACTTCACTCAGTTCCCTTTAAAAGCACTTTTATTGTGCTTTATAACAAAAAGCTATCACATCTCCAATTTCACCTGTGTTAACTGCTACTTGGATACGAGAACCTTTATGGAAAGAAAAGACAGCACCACCACTTAAGAGCAGTTTTCAGCAGAAAGATGGAAGACATCTGTATTTTATTTGATTATTTAACATATTCAAGACTCACTTTAAAAACCAATTTCTTTTTTTTTTTTTCAATGAAATTAACACAATATTACCAACCTACATTTGATCTTTGATGTCAAATATACTGTTTTATCAGCTGGGTTTTTAATTTCTTAATATATTTTAAAATATCCAGTTGGTTTCAAATCCTTTTTTGTAAGCCAGTTCATTCTACAGCAATTTTAATGGGCTAAATAAATCTGTGTAACTACATAATAAGGCTTTGTTCAGAAACATGGTTGTCTTCAGTACAAAAATCTCACAGTCCTAATTAATGCTACTGTCACTTTCCACTTAAAATTGTAAGACGACCTACACAATTGTTTCTTGCAGCATGCCAACTTCTCACTGCAGCAGAAATAAATCGGTCAATGGAGCCACACTGTCATGTAAGAAAACTATTAGAATTATGGAAATTCTAACAGTCACAGCACTTCTTCTATTTAAACCTAATAATTGGTCTCATTGACAGCTGATAGAAATTTCCTAGAATTAAACTACAACAGATGGTTCTACATTTACTCTACAGGGAATTTTTCAGTATATTTCACATTAAGATGACACTGTTTTTAGTGATTAAAAATTACATACAACTGTAATGAAGTACAATTTAAAAGAATTAAAGAAAGGTAAAAACCTCTATTGCTTTGAAATCTAATTTTGCATTAAAAAAGAAAATCTTATTTTTTTTTCCCCAAAAAATTTCCTGCTTTTATGCCTGTTACAGGATGTTAATTTCAGGGAAAAGGGAACACTTCCCATTAAATCATTTTAAGTCTGGAGAAGATTTCTGTGCTGTAGAGGATCGGAAGCAGAACCCACACAGAGCAGAGCTCAGAAGACAATTCATGCTGCCACACACACACTTGTCCTGCCTTCCCCAGTGAAATGTCTCAATTTCCAGGATGGAAACGAGCTCAAGTACATCTATATTGTGTGAAAGTTTGCACCCTTCCCCAAAGCTGTTGTTATCCAAACCAAACTCGTTACATCCCTCTGGCTGCCCTAACAAAAGTGTTTAGTGTGTGAAAGTTTGCACCCTTCCCCAAAGCTGCTGTTATCCAAACCAAGCTTGTTACATCCCTCTGGCTGCCCTAAAAAGTGTTTAATACACCTTGAAGACAACCAATACACAGCCCATGAATTGATACCACTTGCTCTAGCGTTCAAGATCAAATCAGTTTCCACAAATGAAACAGAACAGCACATTACATGGTGGTTTTGGTGGGTTTTTTAACATGTAGAATAGCTTTTAATTGCAAGCAAGTTCAGTGATGTCACCCGTATTGACAGTGGCATCAATCAGCTTCAGGCTGAATTATACATTTCCCTTTTAAAACATAACACTTAGTATTTCTTGTCAGAAAGGCTAACCTACCTCTGTAGGTCTCCTTCTGAAATGCTATTTTATATTTGTGAAAGCAAACTTTTTGCATCTCCAGTTTCTATACATTTTGTTCACTTTACAGATTTGAAAGTTAAGCCAAAAATTACTTCAATTGAAAGATATTTTCAATTACAATGGTATCTAAGTCATGAATGTTGATTTAACATATATTATCATGAACTGGGTTATATTGGGAATTTAGATTATAGAGCCTTTCTCTCAAAATTTTTAACTCTTAAGATATTTCAGAGGATGTGAAAGAACACTATTTTGCTGATGTGTAAAAAGCAAGTGGGAGAGCTCCACAAGCTACCTAGAAAGCATTCCAAACAATTTTCAACTATGCTAATTTCTAGGATTATACGAATTACACAAATCAGGAGAGCCCCAAAGCAGAACCTTCAGAATCCCACATACAACCCATCTATCAAAGAGCTGCAAGATCAAATAGTCTGTCCCAGTCCAACCGTATCAATAACCTGCAATCCGAGGAGCAATCAGCAGACACTACTTGGAGCATTAACTTCATTTTCACTTGTGGCCATCTGGATTTGCAGAGTAATATTAGCTTTGTGAGCACAAATGGTAGTTGTATTACCAAGTAACACAATATGCCAGTCATTTCTTTTTCCATTTCTATTTAAGGAATTTGCTCCCTCAACACAATCCTGTGAATTGAGTGCCAGCAGCATGCCTACGAAAAAAAAGCTAAGTTAAAAATACACTAACCTGATTTGACTGCCCAGAAAGGTAAGGTTCAAAATCGTTGTCGTGAACTGTATCCTTCTGATGTAACGAACCATTTTGTACTAGAAGAAAAAGGTTACAACAATTATAGTACCACTTAGTAGCATTTCAGTAATGAGTTCTACCCTATGGTATTTTATGAAAAGTCGCATTTCTTCTCCACAGCATGAACTCATAAAAAGACCAAGGGATGACATTTCTTCCCAAAACGGTTTCACTTTGTATTATTGCTTACAAAACTAAAATTGAGTGGATTTAAAATTTTTTAAAAAGTAATTCTACAGCTGAAAGTGAATAGACAATTCATGTGAATTACCTCGGAAGAAAAAAAATAATTACTGACAAGAATTTTGTGAAAAATATTGGGAAACAACATCTATTGTTCTGGTCCATAATTAGAACTCTCAGAAACTAATTCACAGTTCTCCCAGCATGTGTTATTCACTGCTTGCTTAAGTTGGCTGAACTAAGATGAGGTGAGGTAACATTTAGTTGTGAAATAATGACTGGTAAGTGCCTTGATATCCAGACATTTTCAGGAAAATTTAAGTCTCAACTTTCTCATGTGTAAAAGAGGTATCTGCCATAATCAAAACCCACTTATGCAGAAATTAATATCTGAAAAAAAATGCATTACATCTCAAAATATCTCAAAACGCATTACTGAAAGATATACAAAATCAAAACTGGTATCAGATCACTTCAAATAATTTCATTTACTTTAAATGTAAGAAAGCAAGGTCAAACACATTATGTGACAATTGCTTTGTTTACCTATTCCATAGAACAGCTCAACTTAACTAAAAGTAACACTACACCAAACAGGATGTTTAGCAAACAAGTTTGGAAGTTTACCAACATATTTCTGTTATGTTTGTCAGGGAGAGTAGAGGTACAAGAGCATTTACAAACATAGGAAACTGTGTCAAACTTTCTGTAACTAGAAGTAGCTGAATTTTTAAGGCAGGTTAGGTTACATTTAAAAGCACTTAGGAGTTGAATATTATTAATTTCTAAGCCTAAACAGTTACACACGTTAGAAATCACAGCAATAACCAAGGTATTTTCTTAGATGACTTGTTATTATGTTTAATTTCAAATGAAGCAAGAAAATTATCAAAAAAGGCCGATTATCTCACCAGAAGTTAACTATTTCTTATTTAAAATCCCTTAAATAATCAAGTTTGTAGGCTTATATATCTCAACTAGAAAATATATCAGTCAACAGCAAACCAGTAACACAACTGTAGTCATACAGCAGAAAGAGACTGCAAAAGTACGCAAAAAAATATAGTGAATAGGCATATTCCTGTGACTTTACTTAGAAATCCCTTATTTTAAGGAAATGAAGAACATTATTATGTTTATACTAACAGATATGAAGTGGGATGCAAGCAAGCAACAGTTTGTGTTCTTTTTGAAACAAAGCACAACTTCCTTTGTTCCAGATGTTATCCATAGGGACTCAGAGCAATACCTTTCTGCCCACCTACAGGCACCTGCATAATCCATCTGTTAGAGTAACAACTTAAAAGAGCAGATCTCAACACGGTCCTCACCTTTATTATCCTGTCCTTTCGGTCTCTGGAAAGCCATGGCGCATGATTCGGTAAAGGAGAAGAAAAAAGAAAAAAAAAAAAAGAAAGAGAGGGGAAATAAAAAAGTTAACTTAAGAAAAACGCTTATATTGTCACTGCAAAACACACAGCTTTTGAGGAGGGATGAAAGGCTGATAAATATGGCTAACACGACATCGGGGCTCGTTTAAACTGGGGCCGAGGAGCACGTTTCACGTATCGTTCAGCACCGGCCTTCCTTAGAAATGGCCACGGCTCTCCAAAGGCAGCGGGAACGTGCTGTGCCCACGGGGGAAGCCAAGGAGGAAGATGAAGCTCCAAGGAAGCCGGGAAGGAGAGGAAAAGCCTCTCCCGGGCCGCAGGCAGGCACCGGCCTGCAGGGGAAACCCCCCGCCGGCGGGCGGGGAGGCGGCAGGCCCCGCGCTCCGCTTCGCCGCTTACCTGAGGGTCAACGCTTGTGGCAGACATAATTCATGTACAGGGCCGCCGTGGTTCAGCAGAGAGGCCCAGGGAGAGAAGGCAGGGCCGCTCAGCGCGGCTCGGAGCTCCGGGGCCTGGCGGAGGGGCGGCGGCGCCTCTCCCCTCAGGCGGCGGCCAGGGAGGGGAAGGGGCCGGGGCCGAGGGAAAGGGGCCGCTGGCGGGCGCGCCGCCGCTCGGCGCTTCCTCGGTGTGCCCGGGAGACGGTAGGCCGGCTCCGGTAACCGCGCCTCGCTTCAGCCTGCCGG